ATAACTGAAGCACAGACCCATACATGAATGTTACATAAATATTTGTAACAATAAATGATTGGATATCAAGAAATCACAAAAACGGTGACAATTTTAATCTGTACTAAGAACCGTGTGAAGAATTCAAAGTTCTTCAATTGTTAAACTTATCAACAATATGAAAAATCAGTTTCACAATTTTATAACCTGCTCTAACGGTTAAGCACTAAAAATGAATGAACTCAAAAGGACAAGCTTTCCAAAGGGGAGTCGGGGCTTCAGACAAGCACACTGTGGGGCGAGAAGACCAGTACGTGTCCACTATTAACCGAGCATCCTAGGAACTGCAGGGAACTAAAGGACTCCAAGCCCTTAGGGAAACAGCAGTGTTTGTGATGCTGTTTCAGCTAATGTCGCATCAAGGCCAAGTGAGAAGATAGGGCACCTTCCACCTCTGCCTGCGTCAACCTTCACTAAGTCCTTGAGAAGTTATTCACAAAACACTGGGTGCCATGTCTGTGCCTTGGAAGTGCACCAGGTGACACGCCATCCATTATACCTTGCTTCCCAGAGCCAGCTATAAGTTTCGGATTAATAGCCAGTCTAAGGGAAGTCAAGGTCAGGCCAGTCCCGGCTGCAGTACATTTCAAGCTGTTGGTTCCATTCAGCCAGGCAGCTGGGCTCTAGGTGAGTCTGGAGACCGCTGCTCAGAGTGGCTTCCCTGCCTTTTTTTTGGCTGTGTGACACAATTTAAAGTGGACAAGCTTCTTCATATCCTACTGTGACCCAGAGTACATGGAACAGAATGAGAGTAAACACCCCACGACCTTCTGGACGGTGCTCCATCTGCCTGGCTGAAGGGCCTGTGGTTGGAATGCCTGTGACATCGCTCTGGAGGAAATGACAGGGCTGTTCTGTGAAGGATCTCAAAAGTCTTCCCCAGCTGCGGAGTTGACTCCAGTGATGTGTGTGTGTCTGTCTCCCACATGCTCTTAGTTTTGAACCTTAAAGACATTTTTTTTCTTTCCTAATCCTCTAGACATCTCCTTCATTAACTAAAACAATTGAAGCAGCTTATTTCCACAGCATGTCCCTCTTTTTACTTATTTATTTATATTTTGTGTATGAGTATTTTATCTGCATGTGTGTAAGTGCACCCATGTGTACAATGCCTGCAGAGGTCAGAAGAGGGCATGGGATCCCCTATAACTGAACATATAGATGGTTGTTAGCTGTCACGTGGGTGCTGGGAACTGTACCCAGGTCCTCTGCAAGAGCAGCCAGTGCTCTTAACCTGCTGAGCCATCTCACCAGCCCGTGCAGGTCCCTTTTCTAATAGGCATAAACCTAGATAAACCCTTCAAAGCAATGTATCACATCTCTCTTCACTGTAGTTCACCAGTGGTGGTCATTTGGTTGGCACCCTCCATGTGCACATGTATGTGTGTGTGTGTACCATAGGTGACACTACACACTTCTGGCTATAACATTCATAATTAAGTTGCTGATGTAAGCTGCTTCACCCCTAAATCCTTCAGCATCCCAAAGGAAGGGCTTTTAACATATAAAACCAGAGTAAAGTGACTTGGCTATTTCAGTGGATATGTCCACAGGCTGATGAGCACACTTGAAGCAACCCTTGAAGAACTCTGTAGATCTTTGAAAGCCATTAAACCAAAGTGTTGGAGGTTCTTTGTTCAAACCGCCTGAGTGATAAGCAGTGAAATGGTTAAGAAGCCTCTGGGTGTGACACCTCACAGAGCTCCATGGCTCCAAGGTGAGGCAGGATGAGACACAGAACATCTTGAACTTGCTCTGACCATGGAAGCCTTCCTTGCATGATGCATCTTAGGAAGCTACGTTTCTCAGAAAGGGCAAAAAAATTAGAAGGCATCGACCCATGATGTAGGAGTTCACCTACATCAGCTGGGTTTAGACATCAGCCGCAAGCCAAACTGCTGATGTCTAAACCCAGCTTTCCACATGTTTTTCAAGTGTACGGGGATGGCCATGTTCTTCCTTCCTAGTGTGAGAATCCCTTCCTTGGGGAGACATAAGCAATGTCCACCCTTTCTTATATGGTCCCCATGACAAACCAGAGTCCAGTTCTATCAACGTTCACCCAATGAATGTACAGGTTACTCTGCACAGCCTGGATGACCGCACAGCAGCTGCACTGGAAAGTCTTCACCCAGCACGGATGATGGCTTCTGCACAGCTACATAGATGGCGTCCCTCTTCCAACTAACCTCCCCCAGCTTCTGTAACCTAGCACCTCTGGGCAGAGGCTGGAAACCACAGGCAATTATGGCAGAACTGCATACAGTTGGCTCGGGGGAAACTGAGGTGAGGGTCCAATGCCTCTCCTCACAGCCTCCTTCTGTGAGGAAATGTCAACAGTCAATAAGCCTGATCATGATAGGCTCTTTGAAGTAGGCACTGGTGATTTGATGCAGATGGATATTTCGCTCAGAGGACTCTATTCTACAACACTTCTACGCCAAGTTGGCTAGAGATGACTCTTTCGGTTTGGCTAACTTTAAAAGCCATTTTATTTCAAAAGCTTCCGGTGGGCAGCAGCTGCCCAGCTTGCTACACAGAACAGAATAAATACATGGGTGGGTCCAGTCCCGTCTCTAACCGCCTCACCAGTAATTCAATCAGACAATGCACACAGAGAGACTCTGCCACCACGCTAAGAAATCCATAGGTCTCGAGCCAGGTACACCAAAAATGCATAATAGATGATCAAACTCAGTCCTGTCACTGAAGTCCAGTCTAAAGCTTTGTATATATCATGGAGAGAGAACCCCCCTTTCCTCAAACTGACCTGAAACTATCCATTAGTTTCAGCATGGACACTGCATATAGAATTAGCCTAATGTGGTTCCATTTGAAATCCATATAGTGCAGACCCCCTGAACCACCTCTCCTGCCTGGCACCTCACTTTGAATCATCCAAAAAGATGCCGTGTGTACCCAGTTCAACTTCATGTAAATCACCAGTAGAAAACTGCTAAACAGGCAAGTTGAACACTGACGCCTCAAGTTCACTGAGCCATGTGACCTTAATCCTGAGTGACCTCCCCTTGCCCTCCACCCAAAATATGTAGGAATATGGGTACGCATGCTTTATATGTCAAAGCTCTGCAGACAATGAGAAAAATTGTTTTTAGTTGTGTGTGTGTGACATTCTAGGTTTGGGATCAAAGTGCAAAATTCTTCTCTGACAAGAGTCTGACTTTTCCTTCCCTATTTCATGCTGAACACACTGTTTTCATAAAGAAATGAGAGAAGCCCTTGCTGGGGACATGGTTCCAAGAGAAATCTGAAGAACAGGGTCTCAGCACTCGGGTCTGCTCTTGGCCTTAAAATGGAGGCTGAGCCAGACTGTGTT